TCGAAGATCTGCACCATCACGGAGTCGGTGTCCGTGAAGAGCAGCCTCATCTTCGGGAAGAGCCTCCTCATGCTCTCCACGGTGGACGGGCTGGACACTCCACTGGAGGTGGACACCAAGATAGCAAATGCCCTGCTGGGTCTCGCCACCGAGGCCTTCGTCGCAGCGCAGCTTGCTAGCCGTGACGCCAGCATCACGGCGCTCCAGGGGGCCAAGGCCAACGCGACGCTGCTGGCCTCGTACGCCACGAACGCCGCGCTCTCCGCCAGCGAGACCACGCTCCAGAGCGCCCTCGACGCAATCCTCGCGGAGCTCGCCGCCCTGCAGCTTCCCGGAGGCGGAATTGTTAACGCGCCGGCCTGGGCGGGCTTCACGACTTGGGAGCTCGTTCGCGGAAGCAACGTCGTTCGCAACCTGCATCTGGAGGCTCCTCTCTCTGCTGCGCTGGCCAACGGCGAGGACACGCTGAGCATCACGGCCGACTGCTACTCCGTCGCAGCGGCGGACGCGGCCCTCGCGGCTGCGCTGCTGGCCTACTTCACCTCCTCACAAGTGGACGCCCTGTTGGGAGACTACCGCACGGCAAGCGCGCAGGACGCGGAGACGACCGGCGCCATTTTTTTTTTTTTTTTTTTTTTGCCTTTTTTTTTTTTTTTTTTTTTTTTTTATTTTTTTGTTTTTTTTTTTTTTTTTTTTTTTTTTTTTTTTTTCTTTTTTTTTTTTTTTTTTTTTTGTTTTTTTTAACTTTTTTTTTTTTTTTTTTTTTTTTTTTTTTTTTTTTTTTTTTTTTTTTTTTTTTCGGCCGCGCTGCTGGCCTACTACACCTCGGCGCAAGTGGACGCGCTGTTGGAAGACTACCGCACGGCAAGCGCGCAGGACACGCAGACGCAGGCCGCCATCGCAGGCGCGCTGCTGGCCTACCGGACGGGCCCGGACCAGGATGTTTTCACACCCAACCAACTCACCTCCGCGCTGGTGGCGTACCGCTCGGCCGCCGACCAGGACACGGCAACGGCCTCAAGCATCGCCGCCGCCCTGCTCAGCTACTACACCATCGCACAAGTGGACGGTTTGTTGGCTGGCAAGCTCGGAGTCACGGAGGCAGCCTCGGCCCTGCAAATAGCAGGGCGCTTTCCGGACGACGGGGGGGCCGACGAGGTGGTGGCCGCCATAGGAGAGCAGATCCTGGCCCCCACGGACGTCTCCCTGTCAAACTGGACGGTTCGCCCCAGCAGCGGCTGCAGCGTGGTCCTGGCCACGCACACCGCGGGCGCAGCGAGCGTGGACGGCTACACCCTGACCCTGGCAGCGAACCCGTGGAACATTGCGCGCACCTACAACCTGACGCCCGGCCGAGAGCTCCTCTTCGCCTGCCGGTACCGGCTCGGCACGGCCTCCAACTTCGTGGTGTACATGTCCGAGGCCGACAACGTCTACGACCCCTTGTACGGCAGCTTCGTGGGTGACCAGGGCGCCTGGAGCACGGCCAAGATGTACTTAACACCGTGCCTCCGAACGGAGTTGCGAAGCTGCACTTCGGGGCGCACTTCCAGGCGCCGGGCCTGCCCAACCAGACGGCAGGAACGGTGGACGTCTACGGCCTCCAGATCCTGGACGCAACCCTGGAGGTCGGCAACACGGAGGAGGAGGAGGACACGGCGGCCTCGGCCCTGCTGCTGAAGCACGAGTTCCTCGACGGAGGGGCCAACGACGTCACGCTGGCCACCCTGGGCGAGGTGCTGCTGGAGCCCACGCTTATCACATTAGGAAATTTTTTGGTGCGCTCCAACAGCCAGAGCTCCGTGGCCTCGGCCAGCTTCGCTGTGGGAGGCTTCCAGCTGGAGGGCTAGGCCATGACCCTGAGCGCCTTCGCCTGGAACATTGTGCGCACCTACACCCTGACGCTGGGCTCCTTCGGCTGCCGGTACCGGCTGGGCACGGCCTCCAACTTGGTGATGTACGTCAGCGCAGCCGACAACGACTACGTGGGCGTCACCGGCACCTTCCTCGGCACGGCCGCGCAGGGTGTCTGGAGCACGGCGCGCCTGGACTTCTCGGTGCCACCGGGCGGAGTCGCAAAGCTGCACTTCGGAGCCTTCGCAGGCTCGATCCCCGGGCTGGTGCAGCAGTCGGCGGGCACTCTGGACCTGTACAGCATGCAGATCAGGGCCTCAGCCTTCGAGGGAGAGTCGGTCTCCGTGACGGACCTGCTGGCGGACTCGCTGGCCCTCACGGGCTCGGCCACGCTGGACGGGCTCACCGCACAGGGCAACGTGGGCTGCGACCAGCTGCTGTGCAACGATGTGAACTGCACGCGCAGCGCTCACAGCCACAGGCACCGTCGCCGGAGCCACGCTGTCGTCCACCGGCGCCGTGTCGGGCAGCTCGCTGAGCATCACCGGCGCGGCCAGCGTGGGCCTGCTGAGCTCCGCCACAGGAATCACGGGCAGCACTCTCACCATCAACAACACGGCCAACGCCGGGAACTTCACCACGGTGGGCGACGTGTCCACGGGGACATTGACGGCCTCGGGCGCGGCAACCGCGGCGAGCTTCGCAGCCACCGGTGCGCTCACGGGCGCCACGCTGACCGTCAGCGGGGCGGCCTCCACGGGCCTGCTGGACTGCGAGAGCCTGGGCTGCACCTTCACGGCCACGAGCGGCGGAGCGTCGACGGGCAGCGTGGTCTGCGGCGACGTGACGAGCTCGGGCACGGTCTCCGCGCCGCAGCTCTTCGCGTCCAACACGCTCACCGTGACCAACACCTCCGACTTCTCGGACGATCTCTTTCTGACGAAGAACTGGGCGGGCTGGAGCAAGCTGCAGATTTCCAACAACAGCGCGGCCTCCGACAGCGGCCCGGAGCTGCGGCTGCTGGGCAACCAGAGCGCGAGGGTCTTCCTGGAGCGGGACGGCGGGACGCACCAGTGCGAGCTCATCATGATCAACGACGAGGCGCTGGTGCAGACGAAGAGCCTCTCCACGCAGCTGTCCCTGACACGAACCAGAGGAACCCCGGCTGCCTCGTGATCGCGGGCAACACGGGCAACGTGGTCTGCAACACGAGCTTCACGGACTTGTCGGACAGCCGGGTGAAGACGGAGATTGCCGAGGCCGACGTGGCAGAGCTCAAGCAGCTCTTCGACTCCATGGAGGCCAAGCAGTACAAACGCCCGGACATGAACGGCGACCTGAGGCTGGGCTTCGCCTCGGACGACTTCGCAGGAACAAAGTGGAAGAATTTGACGGGGACCACGCGGTGGAGCGACGGCACGGAGATGGTCACGCTTGACTACTCGCACCTCACCAGCGTGCTGTGGGGGGTGTGCAAGGGCTTCCAGGCCCGGCTGGACGAGGTGGAAGCCTGGCAGGCCCAGCGGGGGAGAACAAGTAAAAAATGGAGGCGCTGAGGGATCTTGCCGACGACTTCAACGTGCGGGACCCCCGTAAGCTGTATCGCCTTGCGAGGCAGCGAGACCTTGACGTGACGCAGGCCATGGCCTTCGAGGCGCTCAAGGCCGACGTGGGCAGGCAGGTGCAGGCGCCCCGGCCACGGGCGCTGGGGAAGTCGGCTGCGGAGGGGCCGAACGACCGGTTGCAGGCGGACCTCATCGAGCAGCCAGAACACGCGGGGGAAGACGAAGTATGGCCTGGTGGTCATGGACGTCTTCACCCGGGAGGCTGCTGTGGAGCCTCTACAGAACAAGAACGCCGAAGCGGTCGGCCGGGCCACCAAGCGGGCGGCCCGGGAGCTGGCGGGGGACGACGAGAACTTCGTGGTCACGACGGACCTGGGCAACGAGTTTGCCACGCTGGACCGGGAGCTGCCCGATGAGGCGGTGCACCGCACCAAGCGGCCGGAGGACCGCAACGCCATGGCAGTGGTGGACCGGGGCATCCACACCCTGAAGAAGGACCTGGCCACTCGAGTCGCCAGGAAGGGCGGCGGGTGGAGCCAGCACCTCGAGCAGGTGGCGGACGCGTACAACGCTCGGCCCCACGAGACGGTGCACGCTGCGCCGGAGGACGTCGAGAAGCAGCCGGCCACGGAGTTCCGTGTGCTCCAAGACAACGCCGACCGGTTCCAGCACAACAAGGACCTCACGGAACGCCGCATCAAGGCCATAGAGGACGCGGGGCGCCTTCCGAGCGCCGACGAACGCGGCGAGGAGCTTCAACCCTCAGTACGGCGACGTGCAGCAGCTCGCGGTCGTGGACTCCATGACCGTCAGGGGCACCGAGGGCCGTGAGACTCTCCTGAAGCTGGCCCTGCCGGCTCCCCAGGGCAGCGGCAACGCTGCGGGGCGGCTGACGAGGCGCGGCAGGCCCGCTGCGGCGAGGCAGCTGGACGACTTCTTGGGGCAGCCCCGCCGGCCCAGAACCATCGACTAGCTTTGGTACGATATTCTGTACGGCTGATAGTACCTTTGAGCCAAAAGCACAACCGCTTCTCCAGCTGGCGACTTTGTAGCACTGCGAGCCAAAAGCACAACCGCTTCTCCACCTGGCGACTTTCTACCACTGCGAGCCAAAAGCACAAACGCTCTCCAGCTGGCGACTTTGTAGCACTTCGAGCCACAAGCACAAACGCTCTCCAGCTGGCAACTTTGTAGCACTTCGAGCCATTTAGGGGGCACCCCCAAAGAACAGCCGCAATGCGGTTGGGGAGAAACCATCGCGTCTTAGTGGCTTATTAGGGGGGTGGAGGACTAGGCGTTTTGCAGGCATCTCTCTCTCTCTCTCTCGCTCTCTCTCTCTCTGTCTCTCTCTCTCTCTCTCTCTCTCTCTCTCTCTCTCTCTCTCTCTCTCTCTCTCTCTCTCTCTCTCTCTCTCTCTCTCTCTCTCTCTCTCTCTTTGTGTCTTCTTCTGATACATGCTGCAATGATCACTGTGGCAAGTCTGGCATGTGACAATGTGAATTCCACCTCTTGGCTTCTGTGACTCTACACTCCATCCTTGCAACAAGGCGGTCTCGGCAATAGGCAAGCTCAATTGTTTTTCCAACCACGATTGGTTTCATCCACGCGTCACACGCGACACAATCACCGTGTCAAGCATGATCCGCTCTGTATTCTACATCATGTAGAGATGTAGAGATGTCGCACGGACACATTGAATTAATTCACTGCGACCAAGAGCCGCAGACGGATGTCTGTCAAGCGCTGCAGCCCACTTGCGCAATTCAATTGAAATGGCGCTGCAAGCTGTGTTTTATACTAGACAGCCACCCGGATTTGGAAAATCAAAACTCTACGCAGACCCTTTAGGCTGCTTGAAGCACTGGTTTTCGTTCAGGAACTTGGCCACGTAGCGGTCATTGTGCTTGTGGCGTAGCATTGCCTGCTTGAAGTGACTGCCGGCGGCTGAAACGCCGACGTTCTTTGTCCTGGCAAAGGCGACCCAGGCATCCGACACCACTCCGTAGCCCGCACACTCCATGGACGGCCTCGAGGCCATCTCCCACGTCTCAACGAAAGACTCCCACACAAACTCCACTGAATCGCCTTGCAGGTAGCTGCGCGTGGCCTGCTCCACCCACAGCGGCCACGGCCGAACCAGAGTGTCCTGCACGGCGCCGAAGACCTTGAACACCTTGAGCAGCACGTAGAGAAGCCCTGGGCTGTTGTCAGCGAGCCTCTGCTCGTCCTTGAGCCCGACCTGCACCAACCGCGGCACCTGGCAGAACTGAATCGGCCATTCTGCCACCGACAGTCGTCTGTCGGTTCCCCCGTCAAGAGACATGTGCAGCCGCTCGTTGGAGCACATCACCAAGCCGAACTGAACTCGGAAGCTGACATGGTTTCGGGCGTGGATCACAGTCTTGTGGTCGCTGTACAACTTCAGTGTGTTGGCCTGGGGCCGATGCGAGGCATTCATCTCCGCAAACGGCAGGAGGCGAGCTCCCCGGAGTTGCATGTGCTGCGGAGTGGCCTGCTGGCTGTTGAAGCGGGTCAGGAGATCGGAGTCGGGCATCGCACAATACGTGCCGAACAAAGCCTGGCAGGGGCGGGATATGAAAAACAAAAGGGCAGTGGATTGGTTTTTTTCGGGGCCCGTCCCTGGCCTGCAGCTGCGCGATCCACCAACTCTTTCCGTTCTTGCCCCCTCCCAGATAGATGTGAAATTCCTCTAGCTGGGACGTGCCGCAGAGCCTATGCGCTGCCCACTTCATCAACCACAGTGTGACCGCCATGTTTTCCCAGTAACTGTAGAGAACCTTGCACGCCTCGAGGGCGGGATGCTCGAACAACTTCAGTAACTTGCCGCTGAGCTCAGGCGGCATGTCCACAGTGCCGTACCCCTGCCCGACCCCGCTCTCGAAGTCCTTCACCTGTTGCAAGCAAACCTCCAAGTCCAGGTCCCGGCCCAACATCGCAAAGAGCTCTCGTGGGTAAGTCACCCCCAAGCATTTTGTGATGACGTGCTCCTGCTTGGCCAGCTGCGCGTCCATGGTCCGCACGTCGATCAAGTACCCGTCCTGTGTCATGAGCAGGCCCCTGTACTCATCTCCGTCCACTTGCAGCGCGCGGTTCCAACAGTTGGCCGCGCACTGCCCGCCAGCAAGAAAGAAGAACAAGTCCTTGTATGTGCATGCCCTTGAAGGAGCGGGACTCCAGCGGCTCTCCTCGGGCTTCTGGGCGGCATGCGCGGTCTCCACCATGTCATGCGGGGGCTCCTGGTCACCCGCCGCGTCCACGGGCGTCTTCACCTTGTCTGGCAGGGGCTCCTGGCCCTCAGTCTCCACCTTGTCCTGCTTCTGCGCCGCGTCCACGGGCGTCTCCACCTTGTCCGGCAGGGGCTCCTGGACCTCAGCCGCGCCCATGGGCGTCTCCACAGACTTGCGAGCCGTCACCAGCTGAGATCTCAGCTGATTCACGGTGGCGCCAGGTTCGACGGGCTCGCCTTGGGCTTTCAGCTCCTCCTGCATCTCCACCCTGTTCATCCTCCTCACTTCGATCTTTGGCTTCTTGGCCAAGGGCTCGCTTTCCACTGGCTCCTCAGAAGACGAGCTGCTGGTCTCCAGCCTCAAGAACCTCCAATCTCCCACGGACTGCTGCTCCATGAGTTGCTTCAGCACCTCCATCCTCCCGGCATCCGTGTTGCTCTGGCCCATCACTGCCTCGGCCACGCCCTGGGCTTTGGCATCGCCTGCAATGACAGCGCCCTGCAGGTCATCCCAAGGGCTCATGGGAGCGACTTCGCCCGTTGTCACCCGCCCGCGCCCAAGAGAGCCTGCAACCAAGTCGAAAACCAGGGGTGGCGCTCTAGACGCCAGTGCTTCTATGTCAAGCAAAATCAGCTGCATGGGCAGGGTCATGCATCAAGAAGGAAGAGGCAAAAATGTTGAGCAACATCTGCAAGGACAAGCACGTTTTCAAACTGCAAAGGCACTGACTTTTTCGGCTCTGGCTGTGGTCGTCATGGCCTCGGCAGCAAACCCACTGCTATCCCTGGGGTTTTTGGGGTCCTGGGGTTCCCTGGGGTCCCTGGGGTCCCTGGGGTCCCTCAAAAACTGTGGTGTCATCGGCAGCAATCAATCAACCCACTCGTGTCCCTACGTCCCCGGGGTCCCTGGGGTCCACCAGTTCCTCACGACAGCATCTCAGAACCATCCAATGCGGCGAAACCGACACAAAAAGCCGAGCTCCGAAAATGGCCAGCGGCATCACCGGCATCAGACTCGTAGGATCATCGCAGCATCCCCGCATCATCCAAACCTGGCGAACCGGAAAACAAGGAAAACGTAGGGGGGGTAGTGCCCGGGAGCGCCAACAAGGATCACCCAAAACCCCGAAGATCGCCTCAGGGCGCCCTCAAAACCAAGATACTCAGAAAATTGGGATGACGCAATTCACTTTACGGGGGGTTTCCCCGGCAGGAGGGTGTCCAACAAGAGAGCGACCCCAGGGACCCCAGGGACCCCAGGGACCCAGGGACCCCAGGGACCCAGGGGCCCCACAAAAACCACAGGGACTCCAGGACTACAGGGACCTCAGGGACCGCAGGGACCCCAAGGACCCCAGAGAGACTGCAGGGAGCCCACGCGACCCACAAACCCCTGCTGCCTTGATGATGTCGGCTTCGATGCCAAGAGTGTCCCACCAGTTCCTCACGACAGCATCTCAGAACCATCCAATGCGGCGAAACCAACACAAAAAAACCGAGCTCCGAAAATGGCCAGCGGCATCACCGGCATCAGACTCGTAGGCATCCAAACCTGGCGAACCGGAAAACAAGGAAAACGTAGGGGGAGTAGTGTCCGGGAGCTGAGGGCGCCCTCAAAACCAAGATACTCAGAAAATTGGGGTGACGCAATTCACTTTACGGGGGGAGCTACAGTTCCGGTGAAAACGCAGTGGGGGCCCCGGCCGGCCAGGTCTGCAGGATGCGGTCCAGCACACCTCGGACCCAAGCACGAGCACACGCGCAGTGGCACCAATCAAGTCGAAACAAAGCAAGTGCACCATCGACATCCAACGCACCGCACAGGCCCAGGCAGCATGTAGGTCAAACGAATCCTGGCACGGGCGGGGGTGTCATGGAACACTCCACACGGGCCTCGCCGGGCCAAAGGGATCAAGGTTGGTCCTAGGCCTGAAAGATCTGCTGACAACAATGACCATGACAACGGAAACAGTGAAAAGGCCCGGGCAGTACACCTCGATGTCAAACAAAGCCCTGGCACGCAGTTAAAAAAGGTGACAAAAGGCAACTCCAAGGGCCGAGCAAATTCCAGAGTCTTGGCCACCCTGAATGCGGGCAAAGGGCAAGGACACGTGGGCACGTGGGCCGAAAAACCGCGCCTTACACCCCCGCGAGCGGCTCGCTCCCATCTCCCGGACCCCGAGTAAGGCCCTCAAAAGGCGGCAGCAAGCCGGGTCTCACCACAGAGCCCTCAAGTGCTCACAAGTCGACTGACAACATGAAAATCACACCACGCCGTGCCATGCCAAACGAATTTCCGGAAAAACAAACATAAACGGGTTTTTTTCCGGAAATGGCGGCCCTCGAGCCGCTTGAGCCGAGGGCCGACCAAACGCTTTTGGTCGGACCACTATTTTTCTCGCCCTATAAGAAAAGGACCGGCAAGCAAAGTCAAGATGACTACCATCGCCACTAGCGTCGCCCTGGGCGAGGTCCAGACCAGCCCCTTGAGGTCCGAGGGGAAGCCCATCGTCTGGCAGTCCGCGTGGACGCACGTCCTCTGGGAGCCCAGCAGCTTTGGCGAGGACCAAGGAACCAGGCAGAACGCTTGCCTTGCGATGGAAAGTCATTCCGGCCTGGGAGGAATTCGAGAAGAGGTGCGTTAACGAGCTGTCTTCGCAGTCGAGCCGCATTTGGGGCGACTACGGTGATGTGAAGGACAGGTGGCAGAGCTGCCTCAAGGAGTCCCGAAAGGGAGCGACCTTCCTGAAGTGCAAACTGGACGCGCGGAACGTCCGCTTCTGGGACACTGACGGCAGCAAGATCCAGAGGCCCGAGTCGCTGGCGGGCTGCGAGTGCCAGGCCCGCGTCGAGGCCCGGCAGGTCTGGATCATGGGCAAGCAATGCGGCCTGGTGCTGGAGGTCCGCGACCTGCAGGTGAAGCCCAGCACGGGCGGGGACTCTTGCCCCTTCTAAAACTGCGTTCTTTTAATCGTGGATATCAGACGTAAGCGAACGCGCCAACTGACCCCGGCGGCCTAAGTGAACAGCGAGGCCCCGGCACCCAAGGGACTTAGGGGGATGTAGGGGACTCTTTTTTTTTGCTCGGACCACTTTTTTTCCGCCGGCCTAAGAAAAGCAATCGACAACAATGGCATCCTGGGCGACGCAGCGGGAGCATATCAGGAAGGCGGTCGAGGCCGGATCGAGGGCCCGGGACACGGATGACGGAAGCCGTGTCTTGGGCTTGAGGCGGGGCCGAGGCGCCTACGCGTTGCTCCAGCGCGCGGACGGGAGCGTTACTAGGGCCGGGGAGGCCTACTTCGGCATGCTCGGGCGGCATCCAGAGTCGAGGACCTTCGACCCAAGGCAGCCGCTGGTCAGGGAGGGTGCGGCCGACTACGTGCTACTGCAGAACGGGCAGCGGGGCCTAGTGCGGCGGCTGCGGGAGGACGGCACCTACCAGCTGACGAACCTAGGGAGGCGGTTCTTCAAGAACAAGTACTCGCAGCACGTAGCACACATCCCAGTGGTCATCAGGGGATGCGGCGGGCCGGCAAAAACGCGGGCCGGGCTTACAAGCGCAGGGACTGGCTCCCCGCAAATGTCCTGGGTGGGGAGGCCAGCCGGCAGCCCGACAGGCTGTCGGAGCAGCAAATACTGCAAAACGTCAAGCAGGAGACGCTGCGGCTGATAACCGCGGGGGACGAGGACCGCGCCGCCAGCAGGGCGCCCATCATGGAACTCAGCGACGAGACGTACTTCTACGACCCGGAGGGGGAGTGGGTGGTGTCCTCGGAGACGACGCAATACCGGAACAGCCGCGTACACGTAGAAACCATCCTGCGGCAGAGGCTGCGAGGCCTGCGCCGCGTGTCGTACCAGCTGCCGTGCTTCAACAATATCCTGGAATGCGCATTCGAGGACTCCGGGGACAACGCCTGCGTGCCGCGGCAGCGGCCCGGAGCTGCGGCTGCTGGGCAACCAGAGCGCGCGTGTCTTCCTGGAGCGGGACGGCGGGGCGCACCAGTGCGAGCTGATCATGATCAACGACGAGGCGCTGGTGCAGACGAAGAGCCTCTCGACGCAGCTGTCCCTGACCACGAACCAGAGGAACCCCGGCTGCCTGGTGATCGCAGGCAACACGGGCAACGTGGTCTGCAACACGAGCTTCACGAATTTGTCGGACAGCCGGGTGAAGACGGAGATGACCGAGGTCGACGTGGCAGAGCTGCAGCAGCTCTTCGACTCCGTGGAGGCCAAGCAGTACAAACGCCCGGACATGAACGAGGACCTGAGGCTGGGCTTCGCCTCGGACGACTTCGCAGGAACAAAGTGGAAGAATTTGACGGGGACCGCCCGGTGGAGTGACGGCACAGAGATGGTGACCCTCGACTACTCGCACCTCACCAGCGTGCTCTGGGGGGTGTGCAAGGGCTTCCAGGCCCGGCTGGACAAGCTGGAAGAACAAGTAAAAAAAATGGACGTCCTGGCCGACGACTTCAATGTGCGGGACCCCCGCAAGCTGTACCGCCTTGCGCGGCAGCGGAACATGGACGTCACGCAGCCTGAAGACCGACGTGGGCCGGCAGGTGCAGGCCCCGCGGCCCAGGGCCCTCGGCAAGTCCGCCGCGGCGGAGGGGCCCGATCGACTTCAGCCAGAACACCAAGGGGAAGACCAAGTACGGCCTCGTGGTCATGGACGTCTTCACCAGGGAGGCGGCCGTGGAGTCGCTGCAGAGAAGAGCGCCGCAAGCGGGCCACCCGGGAGCTGGTGGGCGAGGAGCGCAACTTCGTGGTCACCACGGACCTGGGCAACGAGCTCGCCTCCCTGGACCGGGAGCTGCCCGAGGAGGCCGTGCGGCCCGAGGACCGCAACGCCACGGCCGTGATCGACCGGGGCATCCAGACCCTGAAGAAGGACCTGGCCACGCGAGTGGCCCGCAAGACTTCGAGCAGGCCGCCGGGGCCTACAACGCCCGGCCGCGCGAGACGGTCTACGGGGCCCCAGCGGACGTGGAGCGGCAGCCGGCCACCGAGTTCCGGCTGCTGCAAGACAACGCGGACAAGTTCCAGCACAACAAGGATCTGACCGACCGCCGCATCAAGGCCATAGAGGACGCGGGGGCCTTCAGGGCTCCCACCAACGCCGCCCGGAGCTTCAACCCCCAGTACGGGGACGTGCAGCGGCTGCAGGCCGTGGACTCCACGACGGTCCGCAGCACCGAGAGGCGGGAGACCCTGCTGAAGCTGGCCCTGCCGGCGCCCCAGGGCAGCGGCAACGCTGCGGGCAGGCTGACTAGGCGTGGCAGACCGGCGGCCGTGAGGCAGCTGGAAGACTTCTTGGGGCAGCCCAGGAGGCCGGGCCAGCACAAGGCAAAAAAACATGTCTTAGCATATTGATGGGCTTTGGGGCCAAATCGCATGTAGCCAATTCCACATTTTCATGCGTTTGATTCGTCACTCACCGGCTGCCCTCAAAATGCAAGCATTGAGAAAAGGAAACAAAAGGTCTCAACAGCCCCCTAAATCGTTCCATGGCCTTCCTCGGTTCCCCAATCTGCTCGTTCTGCACCCAGAAACTTTTTTCCTCATGCTCCGCAATTCTTTGAGCCCCGAGATCCAATTCTAGGCCAGGAAATGGCACAGCAGCAACAATTCAGCCTTCAAGGTTTGGCCGCCCTGGTTTGATGGAAGGCTCTACCAGCGTAGAAGCCAAAGTACTCCTGGTACTGCGCTTCAGATGCGAAGATCAAGCGCTGTCTGCCGGTTTGTGGCACAGTCTCTGTCCTTGTCAGCAAAAGCACCAGGATGTCAGCTGTGTCGCATGCTTTGTCACGCTCGTTCTTTACTATGAATGGAGAATTGCCCTTCTTGCATTGCAAACATTCAGAGATCGTGCGATTGTTGCCCTTTGCCCTCACCTCTTCCAACATGAGAAAGGCATCAGCAGCTGGAGCTCCGGCAGCATTCACGACCAAAACACGTTTGCCAGTCAACGTCACTGTAAGGTTTTGGTTTGTCATTTCAACTACGCACTATTCCCAGTCCCTTAAGTAAATTTGTCCGAGCTTTGGGATTGCCGCAGCGTGAGGACCTCGACAACAATTGCTTCCTGGATTTGGCAAATTGCAGATGCCGGTTGATGACCTTGGTGCTTTTCAAGCTGTCAGGCTGGATCACTGCACCCCTGTGTAGATCGGCAATGTCAACTAGTTGTCCATCCTCAAACGCAGAAGCTCGCAACACTCGAAACCTGGCACTGAATTCTTCCCACTGTTGCCAGGTTGGTTCTGACTCAAACAAGCGGTAGTCCATCAAGTTCCACGGTTGCAAATCGTCAGAGAACGTAGACAAACTCAGCATCAAGTACAACCAAATGTAGGGCAAGTCGATGCGGTACTGCGAGGAGTCGCCGTCCTTGAACTTGACGCGGATAAGCTCCACCTTCTCAGGATCTAGATTGCCGACCATTTCGCCAGACAAAATCCATCTGCCTGACAGAGCTGCGCGAAGCAGTTCCTTGAGGTCTGCACCCGGCTCCATCTGAGTGGCGTCAGGATACTTCTGCCTCAATTGTCTCATAACTGCACCCACCAAGGCAGTTGCTGCAGCGTTGGGCATCTCCATCAAGGCCTCTAGAAGGCACTCCAAAGCTCTGCCATGCCCGCCCATGTCTTCGACCAGGAGGTCTTTTAGGCGGTGGCCGGGCAGCACCGGCTGTTTGTTGCGGGTTACGGCGGTCACGCGTGGCAGCTCCAGAAAAACTCGGGCCTGGGGACTGCCAGCAAGTCCACTCTTCACATTTTGCAAAGCGGCCACACAAGCTACGACAAAGGGACCTTCGATTTGGTTGATGAGGCGGCAGACCTCCTGCATCACCTGATAGAATGGCAGGTCCTTGCCCGCAGCATCACTGCGCTCGGTAAATCCAGGCAGACCTTGCATCCCGTCGACTCCGATCACCACCGTGCTATGATTGAGCTCATCACACAGCACAGCTGCAAAGACATCCTCTGCAACAAGGCTATCGGAGCATTCGACGCGGAATTTTGCAAAAGTCTCTGGAGCGCCGACCTCCCGAAAAGCCTCTTTGTTTGCATTCCGCAGCTGCCACAGCATGCGGCATGCCACAAAGCGTCGGGCATTGAGCTCCCCCCGGGAGAGAGGCCGTTCTCGCAGCTGATCATGAAGCTCCTCGTTTGCTTGCTGAATTTCAGTTTCTGCCTTTCAGACACATTCTGCAAGCACTGCTCGACCAGGCCCGGGAACTCTGTCAGCAACCGGGACTTGCCTTGCCCTGGGCCTGCAAATGCGATGAACAAAGGATGAAGCTGTTTGTCACTGTTCTTCCCCTTTTGCTCGTGCAGCTTCTGGATGGGGATCTGCATGCTTTCACGCAGCACCTCCTTCCCACAATAGTCCCATGTGGCCCCAACTGTTGCAAGCAGTTGGTCGGCTGCTCCAAACTTCAACTTCTTCGCGAGCAACTTCTCGCACCAACTGCTCCGTGCCTGTCTCCAAAATCGGGCGCGGAGGAGTGTAAGGACATCAGCAATTGTTGGATTTATCGAGTCGGGTGGCTCCGCCTCAGCAAAAGAATTTCAAATCAGGCAGATATGAGCAGGTACATCTAAAATTGAACAATAGAAGGGGATGGAATGGCAGCACAACGGGCCAAACCATCGAACAGGAACTCTGCCCGTGGATGCAAAGCCGGGAATGTATGGTTGAACTCACTGCATCAAAGAGAACATTCACAGAATGCACTTGGGCCTTCAGCAGCCAGGACCCCAATGGGTGCAGAGACATAAAGACATCAGAGTTTGCCCTCCCTCTCCCCGACGGCAGAAGGGCAGGTCTTGCTCTTTGAAAAGCAAGCTGAAGGCAATGACAAAATCACTCACAAGGATCAACGGCACGTCTCAATCAATGTTGACCGGCAGGAATGACCGACCTCCAACAAGGAATGGCAACCATCCGTTCATGGGGGGCTCCATACCGAGCCTACCAAGGACACGAACCGCCGCAATCTGCAAAAATGCTATCTTGGGATTTCCTGGTTCTCTGGATGCGATCAGGGCTGCCCCACCAAAACCATGTGCGGGCCGCGCGGGGAATTTCAGAACCGCACGCAACGATCAGAGTCACAGAACGCAGCCGGCCGGCGGAAGCGACCGACTCCGCCCGCCTCGGACTCCTTCGTCCGGCCGCTTGCCTTCGCCTCCTTGACCTCCGCCTCCTGGACCTTCCTCTCCGCCTCCTGGACCTTCCTCTCCGCCCTCTCCACCTTCCTTTCCGCCTTCTCCACCTTCCTTTCCGCCTTCTCCACCTCCTCCTTGGCCTCCTGCACCTTTGTCGCATTGCCCGAGTCCTCCGCCGTCTCCAAGACGGTGGCAGCTCGAGCGAGACGCCTCACCGCCATCGCTCTCTCAACCTGCCGCTGAGCGCTTTCAACCTGCCGCTGGGCAGTCTCAACCTGCCGCTGGGCGCTCGCTTGCTGCTGTCGCGCCAGGAGCAGGTCCTGCCCAGCAAGACTCACACGCCGAGCAGCAGTGCGCTCGGACGGACGGCCTCTTCCAAGGCCTTTAGGGCTGCCTCGACAAACATGCAGCACACAGAATGTCACGAAAGCGCTTGTGAATCTGACCTGTTGGTAAAACAAGCAAACACTCCTGCCTCTGCCACAAACTTCTTTAGCTGCTGCTTTAACTCAGGCTTAGTCGCCAAATCATTCCACTTCCCTGGATCTGTCAGCTGCACTTTTCCTGAGCTCAAAATTTCACCACGCCTGCTGCAACCAATGTGCTGCTAAAGCGGCGCATGACCACTTGCATGTCTTTCAGCGTGCCGTTGTCCACAACCCGTTTGGCTTCTGCGACCACCTGAGCGAGACAAGGCTGGGACGTCGCTTTCTCTGAAGGCCCGCCGCCTCCTCGAGATCGAGCCGGTCCTGACAACCAACAAGCCCAACGTTCAAGCCCGATGCACGTGTCCCCCAGGCCTGGCCACTGTTGTCCTGGCGGCAACCGGCAAATGATGCGAACAGGCTTCGGGTCGGAGGAGTCCTCTTGCGCAGCCCCGGCGCGCCGAGCGACTCCGGCATGCAACGGGTGCCGTTTTGCCTGAAAGAGCCAAAGTGCAATCTGCTTGCGCCTGCGGGCAACTCTGAGAACTGGGCCAACATGCTGTCCTGGCACTCAGCACGAAACAAGAACATCCAAAGGAGGGACTTCATGCTCCTTCAGCCCAGGAACTCCTCGAGCAAAGTCCTGGGCGCCGGCGACAAGGGACTCCTGAAACCCGAAAACCTTCGAAAAACATGTGTCCCAAGACCCAGGCCGTGCTCGGCTGCACGAGCAGCGCCAATGCAATCCCGAGAAGGCAGAGGCACATACCTGGCCGCTGCCTACCGCGGGCACGGTAGCGTCACAAGCTTGCCAGCCTCGGCGTTTGGTCCTGGTCCGCATCATCGCCATGGCTATTCGAAAAGCGCTTGAGCGGCCTGCGATTCCTCAAGCACTGGCACTAGACCCATCGGGCAACCATTGCGAGCTGTTGTTGTGTCAGTGTTGATGAGTACCCTCGAGCCAAGTTTCCAGAGCAAACACAAGATTGACTGGCTTCTTTGGCAACACCAACGCACGGGTTTAAATGCTCCTCCTCCTTTTCACTCGCGGCCTGAAGGTCGGTCGGGCCAAGCCTTGCAAGGCTTCGCAGCGTCCATCCGTCAGACTGGCTGACCCACATCCTGCCGCTGCATCAAAGTCCAAGCGAGATACCAAACTGGCCTGCCTGCAAAACAAGCAGCCGAAATCGGCACCGGGCCGCCAGGGGCTGACGGGCGGGGGTTTCTGGGGTCCTGGGATCACTGGGGCCTCTGGGGTCCCTGATTCCCTAGGGTCCCTACATTCCCTAGGGTCCCTCCTAAGGTCCCTAGGGTCCCTAGAGTCCCTGGGGTCCCTGCACACGTGTGCATCAGACGTCTCGCCAAGGCCCCAGAGTGCGCTCATCCCTGTCAACGCACGGCGGGTTCAGGGACCTTGGGGACCTTAGGGACCTTAGGGACCTTAGGGACCTTAGGGACCTTAGGGACCCTAGCAACCCTGCAAACCCTACCCTAGGGACCCTAGGGACTCCGAGGACTTCAGGGACCCAGCGACCCAGGGACTTCAAGAGATCCTTGGTGGCCCCAAGGATTTTGGGGCTTGAAGGGATCTTGGCAAGAACTTCACGCCGGGTACCACTCAGCCTGGGCATTCTCCAGCATCAAAGGGTCATGCAAAAACACAAAATGCCGAAGCCAAGACACACACACACACACACATTGCAAATGGGCCACAACACCACAACATCATCTCCCAACTACAAACACGGATGTAGAAAACACCATGTAGAGACATACCAACATAAAGGCACAAAGACATAAAGATATAAAGATATAAAGAGAAAGTTATAAAGATACAAAGATATAAAGATATGAATTTGTAGAAATACAAAGATATAAATATATGAAAATTCATAAAGAGATACAAATACGTAGAGATATGAAGATAAAAATGTATGAAAATAAATAGATATGAGTACACGAAGATAAATAGATGTATGGCAAGTTGCTCGAATGGAAAAACAACAGAAGCTTTGCCCTTCCGCGCGTCTTTGTGGCAAGCTGCAACCAACCGAAGCTTGAGAGATGACTTCACACTTCACGGGATCTCTTGCCCCCAAGACCCAGGGTTGCTGGGGTCCCTAAGGTCCCTGGGGTCCCTAAGGTCCCTTAGGGTCCCTGAGGTCCCTAGGGTCCGTAAGGTTTCTGGGGTCCCTAAAATCCCTGAAAACGCCGTGTGTTGACAAGGATGGATGCACTTTGGGACCCTGGCGAGACGTCTTGATGGAAGGACGTTGTTTCATGGCACCCGCGTGCCCAGGGACCCAGGGACCCCAGGGACCCTAGGGACCCCAGGGACCCTCACTGGGTCAAAGATCAAGGGGGCTGACAGATTGGTGACAAAGATCAAATGACAATAACCTGCACTGGACCTCTTGGCCATGACAATGGAACGCGGCGAGGGCCCGGGCGGAACGTGGAGCTCGAGGCGCAAGCTCAAAAGTTCGGAGTGCCTGAGCGCCAGGAAAAAAAAGGCGATTTTGAGGAAACCACACTGCTTGACTTACAAAAAACCTGACAGTACGACTTGACGGGGTTGGGGCAATCGCTCTCAAGGTCAAGGGTTCACCAGGTTGGAGAGACAATACAAAATGCGGGCCTGGCTCAACGAGGTCACGATTTCCAAAGATACACGGGCCTGACGGCGCGGCTTGACGGGGTTGGGAAACGCACACAAAAAAGCAACGCAAACCACTTGGGCCTCACCGGGTCAAAGAGATCAAGGTTGGGCCCAACCCTGAAAGCTCAGTTGAAATCCGCGCATCAACACTGACGGCGCAATCAGCAAAAAGGCCCAGGCAGAACGTCTTCGAAGTCGCGCAAATCCTGGCACGGGACGGGGGGGGGTGTCCGGGCCTCGCTAGGCCAAAGATCAGGGGGCCTGACAGATTGGCGAGTTGGGACCCAAACCTCAAAGATCAGTTGGCATTGATGGCCATGACAACGGAAGCAGCGAAGGCCCGGGCAGTATGCCTCGATGTCAAAAAAAAACCTGGCACGGGGAAGCGCGAAAACACGACCTTCAAAATCCAGGACCAAACCTGAAACACTGCTCAAAGGCCGAGTTGACACCAATCCGCACAGGTGCCCAGCCAAAGAGTCCCCAGTAGCACGAATTGGATCCACCTGCAAGCGGCCAACAAAAAGTGACAAAAAGGCAACTCGCGGCGCTGCGAGAAGATCTGCACGTCGAAGTCTGGGCACAGGGCACGTGAGGTCAAGAAAAACTGTGAGTCTGAAACCACGCCTTTGCACCCGCGAGCGGTTCCCTGCCGCCCGTACCCCAGAGTGTCCCCGATCCGAATCTCGCCTTCACAAGGCTCACGTGTTTGGGGAAGCTCTTTCCAAACACGACCGACAACGTGAAAATCGTGAGAAAAACGCAACACCGGCAACCTGTCATGCAAAATCACGCTCAAAAACCATGCAAAACTGAATTTACGGAAAAACAAACAAAAATGTGTTTTTTCCGGAAATGGCGGCCCTCGAGCCGCTTGAGCCAGGGCCGTCCCTTTGGTCGGACCATTTTGTTGTCCGCCCTATAGGAAAAGGACCGGCAAGCAAAAGTCCCGAACCATCGCCACTAGCTTCGCCCTGGGCGAGGTGCAGACGAGCCCCAAGGGCGCCATCGTCTGGCAGTCCGCGTGGACTCACGTCCTCTGGAGCCCAGCAGCTTCGGCGAGGACCAAGGACCCAGGCAGAACGCCTGCCTTGCGATGGAAACGGATTCCGAGGTCTGGGCGGCCTGGGAGGAATTCGAAAAGCTGTCTTCGCGGTCGAGCCGCATTTGGGGCGACTACGGCGATGTGAAGGACAGGTGGCAGAGCTGCCTCAAGGAGTCCCGAGAGGGAGCGACCTTCCTGAAGTGCAAACTGGACGCGCGGAACGAGGCTGACGGGCTGCGTGCGCGTCGAGGCCTGGCAGGTCTGGATTATGGGCAAGCAATGCGGCCTGGTGGAGGTCCGCGAC